GACCCCCGGCTCTGGCCTCACCCTGCGGTCCCCGGCTGTGATGTTCTGCAGGGCACCCGAGGCCGCCTCTGTCGTGTGCTTGTTGAGCTCGCAGCGCTGCAGCAGCCGGTTGTAGATGCCCACGATCTGCGGGTTCCAGAGCCATTCCATGCCCTTGGGGTCCTTGGAGACCTCCGTGAAGGTGACGATGTCCGCGTTCAGGTAGTGCTGAGGGACGGGGGCACCGTTACGCTCTGGAGAGGTGTCCCCTCTGCAGTGTCCCTCACTGACTTTTCACAGAGTCTTTTCCCTGCCTGCCTGGCCTGAACTGCTGGGCAAGGAGCTGGCAGGTCACCCGGCTGCTTCATGCCCCACAGCATGGAAAAGCAGGGGTTCAGCACCCTGATTCACTACAAACACCTGATTCACCCTCTGCTGAGCTCACCTCTGTGTCCCACCCACCAGCCGAGGCCGGCGTCCACCTCCGCCCTGGCATCACCTCCGCTGCCAGCGCTTCCCAGTGCCAGCCCCACCCCAGTGACACGGCCAGGACGTGCCCCCACTGACCTCACGGGCTTTCTTGCTCTGGGGGCTGAAGCAGCCCACCAGCTCCCCCGTCACCGTGCCGCCCGCGTTCCTCCGGTGGCCCTCGAGGCGCTGGAGCGAGGACGGGGGCATCTCGTCGTACAGGCGGTAGGAGAGGTTGCGCAGGACACAGACAGCGTTCTCCACACTCTGGGGGGCACAAGGGACATGAGGGTGTCATCCCTGGGCCACCTGCAGGGTGTGTCCAGCTGGCACGGGGGCTCCATGGCAGCCTCATGATGCCGGCTGTGCCCACTGTGTCCCGAGAGAGCCAGGCTGGCTCTCCCAGCATCACGTCAAGATGTGCCTGTGCACAAGGGGACAGGGGAGACCCCCCAACACCAGCTCAGGGCTCACCTTGTCCTCTGACTTCCCCACCTCCAGGGAGCTGTTCACGTAGTGGATCATGGAGTCCACCAGCCCGTGGCACTCACGCATCTTCTGCCTGGTCTGCTGGCTGGCAGAGCTCAGGTTCCTGCACGGGAACAGGGTTCTCATGGAGAGAAGGGGATCCCCCACAGCCACCCCTTCCCTGAGCCCAAAAAAGAGCCCTGCAGACAGCGCTCCTGTCTCTTCCTCCCTCCAAAACTTTGCTCCCAGCGGGAGGACCTGGAGGAGATACCTGAGGAAGCCTGTGGAGTTATAAAAGATTTCTGCCTCTGAGGGGTTCTGCTGGATGACACCCGAGCCCCCCAGCCCAGAGAGAGGGACCAGGACCAGGTCTGTGAGCTGCTCCAGTGTGTCCCGGGCCAGGCGATCCTTCAGGTTGTCGCTGGAGGACAGATTCCACAGGATCCCTGCACAGAGGGGAACCCTCAGTACTGGAATGCCTGGGCAGCACATCCACCCCAACTCCCCTTCCCAGGGACCTCATGCTGGTGACAACCAAGCAAAGGGATCATCCCTGTGGAGCATCACCCCAGCTCCACTCACATGAGGGGAGCAGAGTGCCACCCCCAGGGGAGGGGGACCTCCGCCCACCCTGCTGCTGTCCCCAACCTGTGACGTTCTTGCGGAGCTCGTCGTCGGGCTCCCGTAGGGTGCGCATGAGCTCGTAGATGCCGTTCTCCTCCACCAGCGCCAGCTTGTTCTCGGCGTTGTCGTAGATGAGGTTGCGCATGGCGCCGGTGGCGTGGCGCTGCACCTCCTGGTTCGGGCTGTTGAACAGCTTCACCAGCTTGGGCATGGCCTGCAGGCTGCGGGCCTGGGGGAGAGCCCAGGGGGGTCAGACGTGCTGCGCTCCCAGGGCTCCCTCCGGCCCCTGCGGTGTCAGAGGGGCTGGGAAACCCCCTGCTCCTGCTGGGAAAACCTCTTCTCCCACCCTTCCGAGGGCTCACCTGCTTCTTGGCACTGCTGTCGCTGTAGCACTTGTGCTGCAGGTAGGCAGCGCCCAGCACCTGCAGGTTGGGGTCGCTGGCGATCAGGTACTTCACTGCCGAGGGCAGGTCGATGTCATCAAACCTGGAACCGCAGCCGGGTGAGTCCCGGTGGAGCACCCCACTATGTCCCCCATCTCCAAGGAGCCCCACCAACCCATCTCCTTCCCACTGAGCTCTGGGCAGGGGACTCCATTCCCAGTGGGATAAGCATCACCCTCCTGCCATGTCTCAGGATGTGCCAATGGAGAAGCCAGGGTCAGAGGCAGGACACACCAGAGATCAGCCTACGCTGTGATCCATCACCACAGGACCAAGCTGCACCCATCATCCCTCCCCTCTTCCCAACATCCTTTGTGCCCAGTGGGAGCTGGAGTGCTTCACCCTCACCCAGCAGGTGACCACAGCGGGGACAAGGCCCAAGACACCCCGGAGCAGCCCGCAGCCCTCACCCGCCGGCGTGGTGTCCGAGCAGCGTGCTGTGCCCGTTGTACATCTCCATGGCGCGCGGCTCCGCAAGGTGATGGCCGGACTCGGCCAGGCTGCGCACGGAGGGGGCGCGGGAGCTGTGCTCCCCCAGCCCCAGGAAGGCGCCGCTGCCTCCGGCCGGCACCGTGCCGAAGGAGCCAGTGCTCAGCCGCGAGCGGTTGTTGCT